AGCCAGTTCTTTAGCCCCAGGTGCCGTCTTCAGAGTTCACGCTCCTCCAGCACCGCGCCCTCGAGTGCAGCAGGCTCGGAGCCAGCCCTGCTGGGCCTCTGAGAGGCGCAGGTCAGAGCAATGGGAGCAGCAAGGAGCAATGACAGTTGTCCCACAGGGGCTCAGACTCCATTTAGGGGGCCCCGCAGTCAAGGCCTGGGCAGGGGTGACCTCCTTAAGACCTGTGTGTCACCAGGGGACTCCAGTGGGGAGAACGAACGCTTCCCTGGGGCTTGGGGGAGCAGTGGGTGCCAGCTATGGCTCTGGCCCCCTGCGATATTGCCCAGAGGAGGGGCGGATTCAGGGTGGGGTTTGATGGCCACTGAGCGGCCAGATGACCTCTTCATGAGAACTGGTCAAGTCCAGGCCATGTGATTTTGGCTTCAAAATGAAACTTGCCAACCTGGAGGGAAAGGTGTGTGGTGGAAGGATTGCCCCAGGTCCCCTCTCCCTACCCTTGCTTGCCCTTGCCCCTGAGGACACCTGAGGAAGTGGCTTGACCTCTGCTCACTGTGCCATTCTGAAGGTGCACTCTATTTATCTTACTGTGGGAAGCCCGGGCTTGCCGACGGCAACCACTGGCCCAGACCAGGGGCACCGGTGCGGCTGCAGACCTGCGATCGGGCCGCTGCCCCTTAGGGAGAGAGGGGCGAGGCCACGAGTCCGGGGCACAGGCCTCAGCCCTGGCTGATGGCTGAGCGAAGGTGGGGGCAGGCAGAGCAGGGAGACCCCCGGTCCAGACAACCCCCGTGTGCAGCAAATGCTGCTGTGACAGTTCACACGGCTGAACCCCATACTCCAAACCTGTTCTGTTTCCATTCCGGAGCACGGCTCCCGAGTCTGTGCTCGGTGGTCGGCGAAATACTATTCCTTTACCGTCCAATTACAGTATCATTTTAGAAAAAATGTAATGAGGGGGAAAAAAGAATTAATCTTTGCATTGGCCAGGAATTAAATCCAGGACTCCTGGGTGGCAGGCGAGAGTTCTGCTACTGAGCCACCACCAAGGCTACAGCGAGGAAAACTTCACCGTGGCAGTTCAGGTGGTCCGCTGAAGTCTCCACCCAGTCCCAGCGAGGGAGCCCCGGCCAGCCCTAGGGGGCCGGGACAAGCGAGTACTTTCTCAGAAAGATGGTGCTCTGCTGAAACTTGTCTCCTTCAGTTCCGTCCCAGCTGGCCACTTCTACCGGCAGGAGGCTGCCCGTTTCCTGCCTGGGACCCAGATCCCGACCCTGTAGCAGCCCTCCCCACACTCCGCGGGCTCACTCTCCCTTCTCCAAGGACGGGCCTCCCACCACCGGAATCGGCATCCCTGAGGTTTTCAGGCCGCCCACCCAGCCTGCCTGATGCCAGAAATGGCGGGGCAGGGTGGGGGTGGGGTGGAGAGCAGCGGGGGGGCAGAAATCTCACCTGCAGGCCTGGAGACCCTGTGGGATAAATGGGAAGGCACCCCCAATGTCCTCCGTTCTGCCTCAGTGGCCCCCACGGGCTTCGCCCCGAGGGGCTGGGCCTGAGCTGGGTCATGGGCACTCAATACCGTAAGTTGTTTCAGAAGCTGCTGCCCACAGTTTATCATATTTCCCCCGCAATTCAGCACCTGAAGTGCCAGCAGCTGTGTCCCCACGGGGACCTTTAGCCCAGGACAGGACCCAGTTGTCTCCCTCCATAGGTCTCCCCATCCCCCTGGGACCCAGGAGGTGGTGGTGCATTTGAGAGAAGGGGATGAGGCCAGCAGTGAGAGCCTGGGGCCTTCCGGGCTGGTCCTTTCTCCCAGGGCCGGGAGCAAAGGGCAAGGGGCCTGGCCACACCCCCACCCTGCCAGGATTGCCTGCCCATGCTGGGCCCAGCATCCTGGTGATTTTCATCCAAGGATTAAAGGCTCTCACACCCCCACCATGGCTTTGGGCCCTGACTTAACTTTCCCCTTTCATCCCCTGCCAGAGTAAGATCCAGCGTGTCAGCAGTGCCTGGGCCGGGCAGAGGAGCTTGTGGAGGGCCTGGCTCTGGCTGGCCGGAAGCCTGCGAGCGATTGTCCCCTTCCTGCCACATGGGGAAGGTGGTTTGCTATGGTCTCCCAAAGTGACCTTGATCAAGTCCCTAGGGGCCCTTCCAGTGGAGAATCCTGGGATTCCAAGGAAAAGCTTCATACCTGTTTTCCCAAGTTAAGCTGCGGGTTGGGTGAGGATTCTGGCCCAGGACAGTGATCCTCCCCCACCTGTCTCTGCCGCAGCAGCAGTAACTGTGACCTGGACTACAAGCTGTACAGGGAGGATGTTCCCCACAGGTGAGTGGGTCCTGCCTCCTTGGTCCTCTGGGCGAACAGGAGGGGCGGGCTGGCCTAACACCTTCTGTCCTGTCCCATAGGGTGTGTGAATACCAGCGGGTCCCTCCACTCATCAACCACACGCCTGTCAAGATCAGGAGGACTCACACAGGAATAGGGGTCAAGAGAAGTCTCAGTCCCCACAAGGCCCCCAGGAAGAGCCACGTGCCCCCAGAACAGAAAAGGAGTGAGCGAAGGGGTGCAGCCCTCATCCGCATGGCTAGGGAGGGGCTGGGCCTCCGGGGCCTGGTGGAAACCCCGACTCCGGGCCCTCTAGAGGCAGGCCAGCCTGAGGGGCTGCACTCCATCAGAGCAGAGCTGAGCCGGATCAAAGCCCAGGTGGACCGCCTGCTGGAGCGCCTGGAGCACACGGACCAGCTGCCAGGTCAGGCTCCCCACACCCTCAGTGGCGTCCAGCTCTGCCCACTCCTGCAGGTGCGAGGGGCACCTGGAGTCCTGCCTTGGGCTCTTCACCTCTCCCCACCCCCATTCCTTCTGGCCATTCCTGAGGATCCTTGTGGCTTCTCGGTGGTCCTACAACCCGCCCCCCCAACTCTGCAGACATCTGGAGCCAGAGGAGCATCCTAGCCCAAACCCGGGCCCTCAAGATTATCCCCTCAAGCCCTGGACACTCTCCATCAGTGCTGGGCAACCAGTGGTCTCTCTGGGACCAGCTGGGGCTGACGAACCTAGCCATTAACTGGTGACTCTCCCTGCACAGGGACAGAGGATGAAGAGAACAGGGTCCCTGGAATTAAGGGTTCCTCACACCGCACCACTGAACCCCAGCAGGAGCTCAGGGCCCATCCAGGGGCAGGCAGCCCCCAGGACAGCAGAGACCCAGAGGAGGCAGTGAGTAGCCTGGTGCCTCCCCCATCCTCACCCTCCTTCTGTTTGGGTCCTGAGACCGCTCTGTGAGCAAGGGAGGGACCAGGGTTTGTGTGGGAGCCCGGAGGAGTGGACGGGGCATCACCCGCCACCGGCAATGCCCAGAATACGGCCTGTGCCCTGCTCCTCCCAACTCAGGCTTGGTTGGTCAGCTGGACCACTTGTGGGCTGAAATGCCATCTCCTCCTAGAAGAAGGGCGTGGGCTTTGAGTATTGTAGAGGAACTGTCACGGGCATGCCTCCCAGTCCCAGTCCCCTGGCCCGAGAACCACCTGGTAAGCTTGTTAAAACCCCAATGTCTGCCCTTTTCCTGTGCCTGCCCCCACGTGCTGCCCCAGTGTCTGTAGGCTGTCCACGTGGTACCACGCTCGCCAGGAAAGCCGTGGAAAGGTACCTTCCTGGACGGAGAATGTCCCAACCTGGATCTGACAACAGCTCTCGGTGCGGCATTCAAGAGCCCGACGTACCCTCCTGCCCCGTCGTGTCCTCCTCCGCACTGGTGGCCCCATGCCGGGAGCTGGGCCAGCCCCCACTGCCACTTGGGCCACCTCCACCAGCCTGGGCCACTGGGGAGCTGGCAGTACAGAACTTCCCCGCATCTCCACCTCCGCCTGCTGACTCTGCCCCCTGGGGAGCCCCTGGGAGCACCGTCAGCCCCCTCCGACTACAGGTACTGCTCAGATGCGCACCCCCCCCGCCCCGAGGCCCCACCAATCTTCTCAGGGTTGGGGCCTCCACGGCAGTGGGTGCAGACAGCTTTCACCAGCCACAGTGGTGTACAGGATATACCCTCCCATCCCCCTTCCTCTGAAACCAAGCTTTAAGGTCCTCAGCCTGTGCCCCACATAATACATTTTGGTTCCAAATGCCCCATCTACCCTACAAATCCATCCTCCAGACTAAGGGTATCATTTTTATGTCCTGTTTCTATCTTGTCTCTTGCTGGTGTGATATTTTGTATTTCAGATCTGCTCTGGAAATATGTATGTCAGAAGAGGAAAAATAAAATTCGTATTTCTTCTCCCTGGTCAGGGATTCCTGGTGTGGTCTGAGCCTTATTCTGGTCCTTGGACTGCTCCAGGCCAGCCCTTCCTAGAGAAGCTGAGCAGGCCCAACGCCCAAGTTCAGAAGCCCATATCAGCCCAGGGCAGAGAGAGGGGACCAGGCTGCCCTGCCCTCCTCCAGGCCAGACCTGAGCACAAACCTGTGGGGCTCAGGAGCCACCCGGAAGGTCCCAGCCCTGTGGTCAGTCACCCAGGCTGGCTCTGCCCCACGGAATGGCAGCACCAGCTCACGCCTGGCAGTTTATCGGCCCTCTCCCAGGAGCGGAGACTGGATGAGACACACCACATGGTGAAGCCCGTCCAGACCCCCACTCTCATCAGCAGTGGAGGAGGCCTCTGCTGTGCTGCTCTCCACGAGGCCCAGGAAGCAGGGACCTGGCTTCCACGGAGCCCCAAACCCTTCCCAGCTACCCCACCCTGAGCTGTGGTCTTTCCCGGCACCAAACCAGGGGCTAGGGGTGCACCCAGCATGTTCCTGGGGCCACAAAACCGTCCCCGCTCTTGTCACACCTCAGCATTAGCCCTGACTCTGGGACTTGTGGAGCAGCTTTTCTTACAAAGCACAGTTCCCTGTATCAGCCCCTGAGGCTTCTTTTGTCTCAGCCTGTCTCTTCCCGTTACACTAAGGGACAGGGCACGCTTCAGACAACGCCGGACACCAGGAGAACAAGAACACACTACCCAACTCGGCAGAGCCTTGCTCTTTTAAATCCTGTACCAAGAAGAACCACAATATAAGGCTTTTTCAGGTATAAAAGGGTTTGTGTTTTGTTTTAGCTCAGATATAAGTGAGAGGCACAGCCCCCTTGTCCATTCCCTCAAACGCAGGCCAGTTACATAGGAGGAAGTTATGGCCGGCCTGCATAGGGTCCATCCCTCACAAAACAGCAGTACCTTCAGGTCCCGTTTTCCAGGTAAGCCCAGCTGAAGTCCTTTTCAACTTGGGAGTCAGACTGCATTCGCAGGTTTCTTAACTAGGTCACAGTTGGGGGCCAGCTCAAGCAGAAAACCATCTTTAACAGAACAGTTTGCAAAAAAATCGTTCCAACACAGCGGCCCAGTGCATCAGTTCTGTGCCCGCCTCCCCAAATCCTCCCTCTTGTTCTGAGTTCTCAAGGCGGTGCAGTCTGGAAGCCGACTGTGCAGGTCCTTTGGGGGAGAAGAGGCGTCTGTCACTTCTTTGGCTTCTGGTTCAGGACTGGGCGGCGGCGCTCCTCCGGCGGGCAGCCCGCACCAGGCACTGCTGCAGTACAGGATAGAGGCGCTGGCAGCCCTCGAGACCCAGACGCACGGCCTCGACCCAGCTCTCGGTCGGGCCCCCCTCCCCACTGCCCAGCAGCCCGGCCACCTGGTTGAGCACGGGCATGAGAGCCACAGTGAGGCCGGCAGCGGCGCGCTCCTCCTCGAGCCGCGTGGGATCCAACAGCCAGGTGGGCGAGGGCCCCGGCGCGCGGCTCAGGCCGCAACCCACCACCAGGTCGTACATCTCAATGCCCGCGTCGGCCAGGGCGAGCGCGGCGGCCGTGAGAGCGGCTGCCAGCGCCGAGCCACCGTCTTCCAGCAGCAGAGCTGACACTTCGAGCTGCGCACGTGGGTAGCGGCACAGGCGCACAGCCGGCTCCAAAGCCTCCTGCAGGGCCAACGCCAGCTCGCGTTCCTCGCCGCTGCCCTGGGGAGGGCTGCGCCGGCGACCCGCAAAGGGTGCACGGCGGAAGTCACAGATCAGACGTCCCCTCAGCGCGGCTGGGGCCTCGCCTCCGGCTCCCGCCGGGCCACCGCCGCGCTCGCCACCCTCGACCTGGCGCGGGCCGGACACCGCACACAGCACCTTAGTGCCTCCCGCCTCCAGGTAGGCCGAGCCCTTGGCCTGGCTTAGCAGCCCAGAGCGCGCGTACACAGGCCGCAGCCGAGTTGGATCACGGGCGTCGGGCTCCTGGTCCTCGTCCGCCGCGTACAGCTGCGGCGGTTGCGACTCTTCGGGCCCGCGGATACGGCGGTGGTCCCCGGGCATGGCGGCGCTTGGCTAGCTAGCCGCTTCCGCCGAGCGCCCTCGCGAGGGCTGTCGGGATAGCGGCGAACGGCGCCGCAGCGCCCCCTACCACCCCGGAGGGAGAATGGCAGGCGCTGCACAGCTCCAGTGCCGCTGCAAAGGACGTCTGGGGCTCCGCGGATGGATTCACCAGGGCAGGTCTGCGTTAAGTACGACCTGAGCCAGCCCGGCTGACTTCTAGCCTCCCAGACCAGAGCAGACCCAGAGCGTGTCTTTCTCTTTTCACCTGTGGAAACTGTAATTATTTTTATTTTAAAATTGTTTGTGTGACTGTTTTATGTGTTCCCCACTGCCTTGCCCAAGAGAGCAATGACGTTTTTGTCTTGGTCACTCCAGTATTCTCAGTACCCTGGCTGGCATAAGTGCTCATTGAATGATTAGAATGACCTCTCTCCCGGCCTGGATTGCAAGCTCTTTGTCTCCCCGACACTCCTAATTTGGCATGTGCTTGAATCCAGGGCTTCAGCCCCGTCCCTCTGCCTGTGACAGCTGGCCTCTGCTGCTTCTCTCAGCAGACCTTCTTCTCCTGCCTCCTCCACGTCAGCTAGCCTGCTGTACCCAGGGGTCATGAAATCAGCTGAAGCCAGCAGAGGTATGCAGTACCTTGAACCTCTCAGCACAAGTCTTCAAACCCAGGGGTCTTCACCAGGCTTGGGTGAACTGGTCTGGGGCCAGGTGGGGTCCCCATGCTCACTGTCCATCTTTGGCTCAAGAGCCATAGTATTTATTCTTCACCCAGGGACCCACCTGGGCTGTCACACAGGGGGCCCGGGGGCGGGGGGGAGGAACAGAAATCATATAGCATCAAGTATTATTGCACATGGTCCTTTTATTTTCTGCAGCAAAAATGATTCCTTCCTGCAGACCCAGAGCCTCGGGCTGGCAGAGGACTATTTACAGACATGAGCATGACGGTGATAAATAGCGATCCTGGGACAGTGGTTCTACACTGATGAGGCAGAGGTGCAGGCTCCAGGCTGAAATGTAACGTGGGCATTGAGTCACAGGCTGGCACCCAAGAGAGTTCCAGTTACTTCTGGGTTAGAAAGATGTGGCTATTTAAAGGTCCCAAGATCCAAATGTTTGTGTGGCAGATGGACAGCTCCTGGCTGGATACATACATCCAGGTTTGGGGGAGACACTTCCCAGTGGAAGCCGTCCCTCCCCTTAATTCTTCACATCTCCGAGGCGGAGCTGGGCAAAGGAAGTGGCCAGCTCCAGCGCCTCCTGCAGGCAGCCCACGTTCTTGCCTGTGGCCTGAGCAGACACATCTTTGCCACCACCTTTGCCATCCATCAGGCCTGACACCTGCTGCACCCACTCACTGGCTTTCAAACCCCGGTTGGCTGCATTCTGGAAGACACGAAGGTGATGTGGGCATCAGGACAGAGGATGGGACTGAGGGAAGGATGAAGAGGGGAGGGAAGGAAAAACGATGGGAGAACCACACACACCCACTCCTGCCCTGGATGATGCTGCTGGAGGCTGAGGCAGACCCTAAAGGGGTACCATGGTTAAGACAAGGCATCCTGAGTGACAAAGCCAGGTATCAGCCAGCACAGTTACACATCCACCAAGGAGAAGGCCTAAGGGGTGCTAGAGGTGACCAACAGGTGAGCAGGAGAAGGGTCATTTCTAACCGGGGCTGCACAAACATGTGGGGTTGGGCAAACAACTGTAAGAACCAAGCTCCCTCATTAAAGCTGCGGACATCACTTCCCACTGGCATGGGGCTGCAGGGCCCGGAGCAAGGCTACAGCCTGTTCTGACCTGGGGGACTTGACACAAGCACATGATCTTGCCAGCCTCGTTATCCACTGTGAAGAGCATGGCAGCCGTCTGTGGGGAATGCGTCTTGAAGAGCTTCAAGGCTTCATTCAGGGCCTGTGGGAGAACCTGGCATCAGGCCACGGCCCTAGGGAAGGGGGCCATGCTCTCCATAAGTGCATCGAGTTTGCAGAGCTCAGGTCTCAGAGCACTTCCTGAACCCCACCCCTGGCCCCTTCCTGGAGCAGGTACTGGTCCTAGGAACCTGCACGGAGAGGGACTCAAGCACAGGGCCTGGCCCACACTCTGACTAAGGTTTGCCTTCCATCTCCAGGAACCACAGCTCTCCAGCCACCATGGCTCAGCCTCACCCCAACCCCAGAGTGTGGGCCCTCAGGCAACCACTTCACTCAAAGCCACAAAGCTCAGACTTCAGCCACCAGAGGGCCAGTGAGAGGAGATGAGCAGCAGAAGGACGCAGAGTAGTGCCTGGAACCCCAGTCCCTGGAGCCCCAGCCCCTGGTTGCCTTGGCTGATGCTCCGCTCTCCATCTCCAGGATGACGAGGGGCTGGTTGGGGTTGCTGTCAATGAGCTGCTTTGTCTTTTCCAACACCTGTGAGGAAGGAAGTCCGGAAGAGAGGTCTCAGGGCCACAGCCCAGACTGCAACCCAGACAGCAGTCTGCACAGACTTTGCTGGTAAAGCCCCCCAGGTCCCTGCCAGCCACCAGCACTGCCAGGACTCACTCGCTTCTGGACATCAGCTTTGCAAGCTCGGTCCAGGTCATCCATGATCTTCTTCAGGGATTTGAGACTCTCCCGGAATTCATCCTTCTGCCACTGGGGGATGACTGCGGTGGCCAGGGCCTGGAACCAGAACCAGAGGGCCACTCGGGTATGAACCACAGGGCCAGGATGTGAGGCTCCAGCCCAGTCCAACCCACTCTTCTGGCTTTGAACACCGAAGTCCTCCCGATTAATATCCAGAAGGAGAAAGAAAACAAAAAATAAAAACGTATCCACTGGCCTTGAGACCAGCCACTTTATGAGTAATTACAGCAGTTTTAACGAGCAGGGCTGGAGAGGAAGAGGCAGAATAAAGGGCTGGGAACTCTGTAAGTCCTGGTCCCTTACCAGGCAGTGAACACGGCCCATGAAGGGCTTACTGGAAGTCCCGGAATATTAACAAATGCCAGAAGGCCTGGAAACTGGACATTCACAGCACCTCCCCCAACCCTCCCAACACCAGGGCCCACTCATGCTTGGCATGGGCTCCCCTGCTACTGGCAATGGGGGCAGCAGGCAAGTTCCAGGGTTCCATGGGCCCGGATCCAGGGACTCCCTATTGCAAGGCTGCATGACAGCAGAAGTCGGTCCAAAGGCCCAATGCACCAAGAACCAGGATTTGAGGGTTCTTTTGGAACAGGGTGTGTCTGATTCATCAGGCCCAGGACCCAGCCCTGAGCAGGCCCTACAGAAAGAGGGAAACCACCCTACCTCACCGAGGTCGGCAACCTCCCTCTGCACGTCCTTGTTCGGCGCAGTCTGGGCCTTCACTTTGGCCTCCATGACACAGAGGGATTTCTTCAAGCTCTCTGCTTTCCTGAGGGCCTGGGGGAGGGGGGTGGGCAGTCAGGGGTGAAAACTCCGGGTAACTTTCAGCTTCGATATTCTGTCTGTAGACAACTGTGGCCAACGCTGATGAGAGGCTATGGAACGACACACCCCGGGACACCAGAAGTTTCTCCTCAGGGAGCCTCTGTCCCAAAACAGCAGCACCTTCCTCCTGTGCCTGGCCAGCAGAAAGGCCACACCAACTCGGCTTCAGGGGATAGCTGAGAACTCGTACGTCAGGCACCTTCCTCACCCCACCAGGCAGCAGCACACTTCAGGCACAAGCCACAGTCCCCGCCCCAAGCAGCAGTCCCCAGCTGGAACTAGACACACGCCCAGGGAGCTGTGGCTGAGTGCTGGGGGCACTGGAAGCCACGACAGAACTACAGCGCACCCTCCTGGGCACAGATATGTTCCTGGGTAGAAGGCGAGATTCTCATATGCTTTAAAGATTAAACTCAAGATAGCTATCAAGTCTTCTGCACTGGTGGCTTTCTTTTGCCAGGGAGAGGTAACTGCAGGACATTTTGGGGGTAGCCCTATACTTCTGCTTCTGACTGCAGCAGCCATGTAACCATCCGCACTACCCATCTGCCAGATTAATAAGCTTCTCTTGTTCCAAGTAAGCCATGACCCAGCCTGATCTGCTCACCTTCTGGGCTTCAGCACCTGTGACCGCCACAATCCTCCTGATGCCCTTGGCAATAGCTTCTTCGCTCACAATCACGAAAGCTCCCGCATGACTTGAATTCTGCAGGTGACTGATGGCAGAACGCAAAGTCTGTGGTCATGAGGCACAGGCGCCGTGGTCTCTGCTGCACCCCCTGGCTCTACAGCCCTGAGCCCTCCCAGGTAGCTGCTTCCAGCGAAGCTCCCACAGAGGGCGGTGGAAAAAGGCCCTTCACGTTTGAGGGAATTTCTGAATCGGACTCCGGCCCTGAAGGGGACGAGAAGGCCTGGGGCTGACAGCAGTGACACTGAGCAAGACACCACCTTTCCAAGCCTCCGTTTTCTCATGTATGAATGGGTGTTATGCCCCCTCACCCACTTGATTTTGGGGCTGTTGCAAAAACCAACTGAGATAAATGAACATGTGTGCAGTCCCTGACACAACACAGCACCAATGCTGGCGGGCTCTACGTTCACTCACGTTTTTGGCTCTCTCGGGAGAATGTAAATATGTTCTTCTACCCCAGCTCACTAGCTGAGAATACTGGAGAGACTACCTTTAAAATCTTACCATGACCCCTTACACAACCAGGTTCTGTTCCCCAGTTGCTCAGAGAATCTCTAATGTTCACTGTCTCCCAGCCGCTCTGTGAGGGTGGCGCAGGGCGGTCAGAAGCTGTGCTCCGTGCTCTGAAGACTGTGTGCACAGTGTCGAGGCAGCAACAGGCCTAGAACCTGGTCCCCAGGTCCCCACCCTGCCCTCCACACGCCCTCCTGTTCCCTGCCTTCCTGAGACATGTGGGAAGCCCTGGATGGGCTCGCCGTGGCCCTAAGAAGGCTTTTACCAGGCTTCCTTTGGAAGCAGGAATTTTCCAGGCCACCATATCATCCCAGAGGACACCACGGAGGTCCCAAGTTCCATGGAGGAATTCAG